AGGATATTATCATTTGCTTTACTACATTTATTGTGTTTGTTTGTATGTTGTATGTGATATGTCGTTGATTTAATCCATTCTGTGTGCATCATTACATTCGTTATCTTGATAAAGATACCGTGTTTGGTATGAGTGCGGTTCAACACAATACTTCATTCTGAATATTGTCACTTCCGTTTACGTAAGTAATTAATGAATGCAGATTAAAGATTATCACTTAGTATTATATATATATATAATGATTTATGTTGTGATTATTGTCAAATGTGTATAAGGAATATATATGATAAACAAAGATGTGATATAAAAAATTTCAGAAGAAGATAATGATACTGATTTGTGTAACGATTCTGATAGCCGTGTTGGTTCTGATTCTGATGGCGTTTATTCCAAATCCATTTTGATGCGTTATTAATGAATGTCTCTAATATGATCTCATCTTAATCAGGTCACAAGACGATGTTCTGATTTTACTCGGTACTGCTAAGTAATCAATTCAACACTATGACTAGTTGAGTACTGAATATGAATAACCGTGATTACAATAAGCATTATGCAATTCAGCTTGATACGAGTCTAAAGTGGATGTTTCTTCATGAGTAAATCACTTCTCTTATTCGTTTGTCGATTCTTTTCGCAATATTCATAACTTGTTATACCTTTGCACTGCCCTTCCATAACGATCTCATTTCAGTATCACAAACATTCTTTTATAATCGTCATTGACTTTATTATTAGCGTTTTATTGACTTTATCGTTAATTGCATTGTTATTATTCTTTATTTTTCATTTATTTATTTATTTTTCTTGTGATTTCAATAACAACGCTTTTCATCTTTATATTATTGCTATCGTTATGATTATCTTCATCATTAACGTTACCGTTAAAATGAACATCGTTTACTGATAGTAACATCAATAACGCATTTGCATTAATCACTCATTCAGCAATAATATTTATTATTTCATCTAACAAATTTCACTGTTTTTATCATCGATGCTTGTCATGTTAGGGTGTTCTTGTGATCAGAATATTAACATTATTATATTTTATTATTACAGTTGTATAATTAACTCATCATAATATGCTAATGATAAGATTAATAAAACAACCGATATATAAGAACCTGAACATAGTGCTATCTTGAATGAAAGCACAGCTGAGATGATTCAATTGTAAACTGAATGAGAAATAAAGCAGTTGAATGTAAAAGTGTGAAGGCGACTGGTGAAGTGTGCAATGTTCATTGACAGTCAACTGAACTGATTTGATTCGTTTCAGAAGAAGATCTGCTTGATATTGATCATAGTCGTGATCATACTGGCTCTAATCGTATTCCTCATTATTCAGTTCTCACCTGACTCCTCGTCTAATCCACCTTCAACACACACACCCACCCAATGATCTGTGTTTTTATATCATTACTGCTGTCTATTATTACTAATGTATGTAATAATATGTTTATGTTCATCCAACAAATACCACCGTTCCGTTGTGATCAGCTCAATCGAAAATACCAAAGAGATGGTGGAATGGCATATTTTATGAATCATATTGTTATGGTTACTTTTACAAAATGAAGGAAGAAGGTATTCGGAATATGAATCGATTAAAATTATATTTGCACCTTATTTTAATCGAATATCATTTGTGAATGTTTTATTGTTGTTGGTGAATAGCAGCAGTGATAATAGCAATAATAATAATGATAATGATAATAGTCACACAATGAAATCTCGTTGCAAACATTCCTCCGATAATATGTGTAATATAATATCTTTCAATTGTAATCTTTATTCATATAAAATTAATTTTCTCGTTACATCGTGCAGCACAACGAACAGCGATTGA